ACCTTTTTGGGAACTGGTGCTTTTCTTATGTTTAAACAATTTAAATGGCAAATTCACAAGATAAGCACTTTGGAGTATTGTTTGCTTATAATATGTGCGCCCCCCCCCCCGTCTCTGTGTGTGTGGACCTAGAGGACAACATACATATTTACACCATGTGAATACATAAAGAGGGCATACAATCAGCTACAAAAACTGAGTCCTCTTTATACTGAAAATAAAATACCTGCAATGAAAGAAATATGATCCTGACATTCGAGCCCTGTTCAGGGAAGTTTTTAATGTTTGATGTTTTATTCTGTTTTTAAGCTGTTGGGAGCCACCCAGAGTGGCTGGGGAAACCCAGCTGGATGGGCAGGGTATAAATAAAAAATTATTATTATTATATTTATTATTATTATTATATATTATTATCCCTTCCTGTAACTTGGGAGGAAAATGTAGCCGATCCATTTTAAATTCTTTAATTGCAATGGTTCAGCAGCCAGCAATTTTTAAAGGAAACTTGCACAGTATTTATTCTTTAGAGCCTTTACTACTCAGAAATAAGTCCCACTGAGTTCAATAGGACTTACTCGTTGGTATGTGCCTGATAACTATCACAGTTTCTATTATTATTATTATTATTATTATTATTATTATTACTACTACTGCTACTACTACTACTACTACTACTACTACTATGGTCATAATGCTTCTTATAATTCCTCAAACCATCTATTACCCTCTGAGGAGATCTACTTAAGCTTGAATGACAGTCAGATAAATACACAATTTTACTATTTGGAGAGACTATCTCTTCTCCATCCTCTTTCAAACTGTTTTTTATGCCCTTTATGAACAAATGTGTTGAGGTAGGTCTGTGTGTGTGTGTGTGTGTGTGTGTGTATACGCATACGCAAACGCACGTGGGGGTGGGGGTGACAAACTGGGTCTTTGCCCTGCGTGATAGAAAGCCTAGTTTCGACCCCGCTTAAGGTTATAGTATACCCAAAATAATATATTATTCAGTGTAGAATAATTGGAACACGGTTGGTTACCTGCAGTGAATAAATGCTAACTTTGCAGTGTTACCTGCCTTCCCCAACCTGGCACACTCCAGATGTTTCTGGACTACAAATTCCATCATCTCAGACGATTAGCCGTGAAGTTGGACTCTGGGGTTGCAGTGTGTTGGGGATGGCTTCACTAGATGTTGCCTTAACTGTTTGGGCTACCTTTTCCAGCAGGGAGAGGGAGAAATTGAGTTCTCTCACTTCTACCTGCTTCCTTATCCACACATTGGGAAAATATTAAACCTTATTTTTCTTTTGCTGAGTAACAAACCCAGCAAAAACAGAAAACAACCAACAGCAGCCCAAATCATGCTTGTTGAGCCCACTGCATTTTGAATGCTTAGGAGCACTGCAGGTATGCGGCTAGTTCTCTCATGAGGAATGGTTATTCTCTGCTACAGTATAAATGGGTAATTTGGTCTGACAGTTATGTTTACAACACATTAATCTGCTTTCCTTGGGGATCTGATGTAAAGATATTCTATTCTTCCTATTGCCCCCTTGCTCTTTCATGTGTGTTTATATATACAATCTTTTATAAAATAAAATATATTTGTAGATTGGAGGGTGGTTATCCCAGCATGCCTTCTTGAGTGAACTATTGTTTTCTGTCTTCGCTCTAGAGCAGGATAGGTAACAAATGACCTCAGAATCATATCAGTCCTGTCAATATATTTTCCCTAGCCCACGCTGCTATTATCTGGCAATTCAGTTGCAGATGAGGCATCATTTTTAGCAGCCCAGTGCTAAAAATCTCTGTTCTAGATTATATTCTTTTCACCTGTTCGACATCTTTCTGGTGCAGTGTTTTATAAGATCATATGGCTCTTTCTTGTGTACACAAATTGCCACATCTCTTGGTAGTGCATGCCAAACCACTGATTCTGCCTCTGATGGTGTGCCTCTATTTTAACTGCATTGTCTGTTATAAGCATGCACATCTCTACATTTCTGGAAGTGTATATTAGTGTGGGACATGTAAGCTTTGTGTTTCAAATGCAGTGAAGCCAAATGCAACATCATCCTTTTGCTAATGCTGAGGAAATATGACATTGCAATTAAGCCCTGGGGAAAAATGTAGTTTATCTTTTGTTTGTTTTCAGTCTTGAGGGACCAGCATCCCTTCCCATTGAAATGGGTGGCTAATGCTCCATCACAGATACTTGTTTTGCTTTCGTCTTTTTTGCTCTTCATTCAGGGAGTGATTCATTCATTAAAAATTTAAATGATGGACATACCTACCCATCATCTGACTTATTTCAGGGTAGTATTACAAAATGGGCTTTTCACGATACAGGTGGCACATGTTTGTTTTGCATTGGTAGGTGCATATTTTCCACATGTTTTCACTCAGGCTCTTTTCCAAGTATATCACATTTGCGCACTATCCAGATTGCAGCATTTTTTTTGCTAGAGTAGGATTCTTCCTGCAGAGAGTTGTGCTTGCTATATAAAATGACATGGCTGTGCTGGCAGTAGGGCTCTTTGAACTTTGAATGTAGTTGAACAACTCAGCTCCGCTGTGTTCCCACAACATGGGAGATTGCAAAAGGCATTGTTTCTTGGGAAGCTGCCTGAAACATACTGCAGAATTAATACACATGGGGCTTGTATAATGTCATTTTTACTGCTCTGGTGTCTTGATTTTAAATTGGATGGGGGACTGAGATTCCTGCACTGCAGGAACTTGGACTAGATGAGCCTTGGAGTACCTTCCAACTTTACGATTCTATTATTCTATGATCCTCACCAGGACCACCAACTTCTTTCTAGCTCCTGTTTGCTCCTCCAATGCCACCTGCCTGAGTTCCAGAGCTGTGTTAGATGCTGTTTAGTAGCTTTTGTGAAAAGGAAAACATAGCACAGTTGACAGCCTATTGTGACAGTCTGCTGTTCAGCTGTGAGGGTGCTAGAGGGATGTACATATGCTGTGAATGTTTTTCCACTTGACTTGAGCATCTCTTTATCTCATGAATAATAATAGCAGCCCCCTTATAGAAGTTTGATGGAAGCCATTTCACCCTATTGTTTTTGTGTATCAATATGTGCCTAAAGGGGATTATCTCCTTTCTGCTCACTCACAATGCAGAAGGGATTTCTCTCTCTACTTTCAGTACAAATCACTTGAGATTACCTTTGATGGCTTTACTTCACCTTACTTCTCAGTTCCTATTTAATGGCATGTATCCTGCTGGGAATCTTAGTTTTTGTGATTCCTTCACCATTTATAATCTTAAAACATCCTGTTCCCTAAAGCTGTTTGTTTGGGTCTGAATTGAGGAAATGGTTTTCTTCCCTAGTACAAACTCAGGATTGCCAAATTGATGGTTGCATCACTATTGTTGTAAAGAGTCACTGTGCTTACCTTGTATGCACTCTATATGTAATTGAATTGTCAATACCTGTGTTTTTGCATTGCATTTCTCTGGGACCTCATTGCTTACAACACCCCCACCTCCACTTTGTATATTTATATCTTCAGCTGAGGGTTACGCTTTATGAACAAAAGTCATCGTAAAATTTGTTAGTCTTTAAGCCTATCGTTGTCTTTCTAGGCTAACGTGACTGGAAATTCCTAAAATTATCACGACTGCCCTCTACTGCTCCTTAACGATTCTGTTTGCCCAAATCTGTATGGTTAGCCACCCTTCCTGCTCAAGGGTTTTTCTGCAGGGCATGTAGCAAAGTAGTGGCAGGTCCAAGCAGTAGGTCAAGTTTGTGGGCTGCTTGCACACTGCTGTCATGCAGGGCAGCAGCTCTGTGTTTACATTGGATGCATCGGCTGGAGGATCTGTGTGAGCTGCTGGTCTCTTGGGCTCTGGAGCAATTTCCAGAGGGGTAGCTACGTTAATCTGTTTTGGCAAAAGTGACAGAGTCTTTTGGCACTTTTAAATAATAAGGTTATTCGGCATTAGCTTTTGTGGACTACAGTTTACTTCATATGCATGAAGTGTTGTCCTGAGTTACAGAAATGTGTGGATGGATGGACTGATGGATGGGTGGATAGATGTGGGTGTGTAAGCAGTGAGGTTCCAGGGAAATGAAATGCAGAAGTGCAGATGGTGATCATTACCTTATTAACGGTGGCTATTCTCAATACAACGCTGGAGCAGGCTTCCTAAGCTACTGCTTAGGGAGGCATGACTGTAGAGTAAAAAAGTTGTTGAGTTATTATCAAAAACTTTGCATTGGAGCATTCCAATTTTTTTAGCAGACGTGCTGCTCTACGGCTGGTAGAGGATACATAATAAAAAGAAAAGCGGGTGACTGAGAGATAGAAATGCTAGTACAAACCTCCCTGTAGAGACATGCTGGCTGCTCCCTGCACCTTGGGAAATCTCCCATCTCCCTCCCACCTTTTCTCAGAGAGGGAGGTAAGGAAAGTGGTGTTGGAATAGCTCCTACAGCTGTGAGAGCTGTTCCCAATGAAAACACAAATTCCAAATAAGCTCTGCCCCTATATAGCAGCTGCTCGGATTTGGAGGAAAAGCTGCTCCTCAAGAAGCTGTGTCAGACCAAGATGGCCTCAGCAACATGATCTTAGCTGACCTTAACTTCCCGTGAAGTGGGCAGACACAGGAAAAGCCAAAGGGAAACTACCTATATTTGTAGTTTGGTTGCTGCTAAGATAAAAATGATGTTCTATGGGACACTGCTCCCTTATTATCTGCCTGTGATCCTCGCCTGCCCAGTAGACTGTGGGCCTCTGAGCACAATCAAAGTGAACAGAGCTGCATGATTTAAAAGCTGCTGCCACCACTTCCCCCAAAAGGACTCTCTCATCCCAACCTGCGCCACCAAGGGGCAAGGCCTACTGCAACAGCAAGAAGAAATGCATGAGCCATGGAAGCATCTGATTTCATGTTTATTTCTTTAGCTTACAAACTATAGGTAGCAGAGCATTCTTTTTTTCTTTTCTTGATGTGGGAGCTAGATGGTTTGGAAGGGGCTATAGCTCAGTTGCAGAGCATTTGCTTTGGATGCAGAGGGCCTCAGGTTCAATCCTCAGTATCTTCCAAGTATGGTTGTGCATGTCCCTTGCCCTGAAACCCTAGAGAGTAGCTGCTGGTTGGTGTAGACAACCCTGAACTGGATGGAACAGTGGTCTGACTCAGTATAGGGCGGTGTCTCATGTTCTTGTGATTTCTGGTAAGTCAACACAAAGGCAGCATATACATCAATTAATTAAGCGATGACAAACCTAGACAGCATCTTAAAAAGCAGAGACATCACCTTGCCTACAAAGGTCCATTTATTTAAAGCTATGGTTTTCCCAGTAGTGATGTGTGGAATTGAGCACTGGACCATAAAGAAGGCTGATTGCTGAAGAATTGATGCTTTTGAATGATGGTGCTGGAGGAGACTCTTGAGAGTCCCATGGTCTGCAAGAAGATCAGACCTATCCATTCTGAAGGAAATCAGCCCTGAGTGCTCACTGGAAGGACAGGTCCTGAAGCTGAGGTTCCAATACTTTGGCCACCTCATGAGAAGAGAAGACTCCCTGGAAAAGACCCTGATGTTGGGAAAGATGGAGGGCACAAGGAGAAGGGGACGACAGAGGACGAGATGGTTGGATAGTGTTCTCGAAGCTACTAATATGAGTTTGACCAAACTGCGGGAGGCAGTGGAAGACAGGAGTGCCTGGCATGCTCTGGTCCATGGGGTCACGAAGAGTCGGACACGACTAAACAGCAAAAACACCTAAAAATAGCTGGTGATTTCCCAGAGATAATTCCAAACTCACTGCCTGAACCTGTTTCACATAGTTTTTAATTCCACCATCATAAATCTGAACAGAGATTTTCTGGGTTGTAAGTGTGTGCACATGCCCACAGCAGGATTTGCACTTGTTATACCAGTATGTAATTGACCAGTTCAGGGCAGGGGGCGGGAACCAAATAGGACAGAGCACAGATTGATTGCTGCAGAAACAATGAACATGGTAAAAACTTGTCCAGTGTACTCAGTACAGACTGAAATGCTCAAATTATTTACAAAATCTATCATGCAATAAGACAGACTAGTGACAATGCTCTCAGAATATAGGTGCCTTGCATTCACATTCCTGTAGCATGAACCTATTCCAGTATTCAGAAGGAAACTTAGTAGAAAACATCGGGGTAAGAAATAAGTAATTTTTTGCCAAAACATTGAGTCGGATTAAAAGCATTTTCAGAAAACTAAAGCAAAGCCACACGGTATCTGCCAAAATTCGATGTGAAAGAGGGAGGACCAAAGTGAGCCTTTTTAACCGTGCTTCATTTTTGAGAACATAGTAGTGTAGGTTTACAATCCGGAACAATTTACAGCCAGCATAATAAAGTGGTCTTTAAGGAAATCTAGAAGTTCTCTGCCTTCCTTTTCTTACTTATAAAGTCAAGCATTGCTGTACCTCAAGAGACTTAAACTAGAGGCAAGTTGGAGGAGATTGGGATAAATTATTCAGAAGTATATTATACTTTTGCTGTATAGAGTGAAGGAAGATGGAATTTCAGTAGGGGAAATAAACACTTTATATTTTAAAGTAAAACATTGCTGCCATTTTCTCCAGGGGATGAGTGGGGAGTTAATGACAAGAATCACAGAAGCCTTTCCATACTTTCATTTTTGATGTGAAGTCATGGGGGAATCATTCTGTCTGCCTTCTAAAATACCACTGTTCCTTCAGAGTAATACCCTGTATTTCACATTTTCATTCACAGTGCCTTATTTGGCTGCTTAATAAGTGCAAACAGATTCCCTAGGGCTCTACTAAATTTTTGGCAACAGAAAAATCAGGCCAAAGGGGTAGGTTTCAGGAAGGAAGTTTAAGTCCCACCAAAAAAAAATTCATAGGTTTTTGGGTGTCCTTTTTGGAGCTTATTCCTTCAGCAATCTGCAGTTTCTATACCATCTTTAATGGTCTTTTTTCCGAAGTGATCATCAGTTAGTCAGATATCATATAATCAGTATAGTGACATCAAGTTGTCATGTGGCTAGTCAGATATGGTACAACACAATGAAGTCAAATTCACAATCAGGGACTTCACTCTGAACTGCCTTCCTTGTGATGTGATGTAGCCAGTCAAATTTTTATGTGATGACAAAGTGAAGAGAGTGTTTCCTACCCTCAAACTAAATAGGTGAACATTTTCACCCTAATCATAGCCTCTCCCCTGAAAAATTCCCTCTCCTCCACAAAATACTCCCTTCCCTCTTTGGTGCAGCCCTAGATTTTTGTGTTTTCCTTTTGGTGTTTCCCTTGGTGTCTTCGTTCTTTGGATAATGATGTTTTGATTTATATATTGTTTAGTGCTGGATTAAAAAGAAGTCTATCATTCCATGAGGCAGAGGTCCTAACAGGATTTTGTGGTTTTAGTGCTTCGCATGTGAATTGGGCCGTCTGCCCCATCCATGAAAGGGTATACAAATTTGCATATACTAATTTACATGTATAGATGGAAATTTTAGAAATTGTTTTTGTTGTTGACATCCATCTGTCTTGGGAAACAATGGAGGAATGTGCCTTTGGGGATGAAGTCAAACTGTTGCAGCTGGGGCAGATGAAGGCGTCCGGTTGTGCCTCAGATGTACCATGGAGTTTCGTCTTTTTGCACTCCTCCCCGCAGTCATTCCTCCTCTGGTCACTAATATTTATGCACAACCTGACTTTCCCCAGGCACTGTAGTTGTTTACAAGGGATTTCCACACAGCGGGGTTGATGTTACCAGCCTTCATGTCATAGAGTTGGTAACATAGAGTTGGTCTGCCAACAAGCCTGGTGCCTGAAGCCAGCTCCCGACACAGTCAGGAAAAGTGCATTGCTGGAAACTTGTCGAGAGAGATCATCACAGACCACAGCAAGCAGATGCAGCAAAGGGCAGAGCACTACCAAGAACTGCACTTGAGCGGAAACGTAGTGTCTCACACAGCAAACTCCAGCACTGCGAACTTCTACAAGAACCAAGGCAACCACCATGACTGTAACAACTACCATGGAATCTCCTTGCTGAGTACTATGTAGTACTTTGCCTGTGTAGTTCTCAACAGAGGACAATCACTCACTGACAGGGTCTGTCCCAAACCACAATACGGCTTCAGAGCTCAGAGGTCAACAGTGGACATGATTTTCTCAATGCATCAGCTGCAGGAGAAATGCTGAGAGCAGAGGCGCCTGTTGAGCGCTGCCTTCATAGACCTGATGAAGGCCTTTGACTTCGCCTGCGAAATAGGACTCTTCACACTGCTCCACAAAACAGGATGTCCACCTAAGCTTCGCAAGATGGTTGTGTCCTTCCACGAGAACATGTGTGGCACCATCCAGTATGATGGCTCATCCTCAGAAGCCTTCCCTATAAACAGTATGAAACAGGGCTGTGTTCTTCTCCTAACCCTCTTTGGCATATTCTTCTCCCTGTTGCTCTCATATGTCTTCAGCTTGGAATCTGGTATGTCTACTGTCAAGATAAAAAATTGTCCAGTAGCACTGGACAATTTCTTAAATTTTTTATTTATTTATTTCGACTGCATCAGACCAACACGGCTACCTACCTGAATCAAGATAGAAGTGTGATGGGCCCTTATCTGATAATTTAAATAACAGTGCAAGGCATCTCACCATATTAGGAAGGATTATGACCTTTGCTTTGATACGTAGAAGGCAGGGATAGGGAACAGTTGAAGTTGTCCCCATAATTGTATTTCTATACTAGAAAGGCTAAGTCTCCTAAATTTCTGCCTGCCACACAGCTGTTAAAGGCAAAAGAGCCCTGCTCTTCCCCAATGTAACCCTAGTGCTTGCAAAGAACTTAAGTTTCATAGGTTGGTTGTAAACTAGCCATATTACTGTACATTTTTCATCTGTTGATCTTACATTTAAGATGTATATCTTACCAAAGTCCAAATGCCCATGCTTGAATAAATTCAGTACTGAATTATTGAAAAGCAGATAGTATATTCTAAGAGCATATGTTGTGGTTATTTATTTATACCTCATAATAACTACAGCAGTGTTATCAGCGCAGGTCAAATAGTCTCCCTTTTCTCTTTTGAGCAAAACATATTTAAGCCTTTGACATGCATTATACCCACTCGAATGCTTGTGTCAAAGGAAAAAGTCCTCCTGTTCCCCGCCATGGGAATCATTCCCTTTCTCTCCCCCCATCACGTTGCTGCTACAGGTAACTTAACAGCCTCCAAAATTGAATTTCCCTCTTTAAAAAATATTTTTTTTAAAATGGCATGAGTCTGGATACTACATTGCATGGTTCTCATACACTGCTCTTTCTCCTCATCACAACCTCCAATATGTAATACAAAGTACCGTATTTACTCAAATGTAATGCACACCTTTTTTGGCCCGTGAAAATTAGGGTGCACATTAGATTTGATGGCACATTTACATTCACCAGCAAATACTTTTTTGGTTTCAAGTTTTTGAAAATTGAGGCGCGTGATAGATTTGATGGCACATTAGATTCATGAGAATACGGTAATACTGAGCTATTGTTCAGGACTGGTGTAACTTATACTTCATCACCCACAATGCCCTTGCATATATGCTAATTATGGACTTCATTTGCATCAGCAGGGTATTTTTTTAATGTTTACAAATGCTGAAACAATGACGTACGTGTGTGTGTGTGTGTGTGTGTGTGTGTGTGCGCCTGAAATTAAACCTGTGTTAGAAGAACGTCTTTGGTGCCAACTTTTTTGTGTGGACGTGCTACTTCCCAATATTTCTCAGTTGTTGCTTTTCTGGGCAGCAACCGTTTCTCTACCACGGAAGACCAAAATTATTCAGAATGTCCCTTCTCCAAAGATTGGGTGCCAGTGACTCTGCGCTGCATCACATTTGTCCTTCAGAACAAGACTATGAGGCAGCAGCAAAGACTGAAGCATAAAATCCATGGTGGATACCCAAAACTTGTTGATGGACTCTCCGACGCTTTTATGCTTTCCATTTGTTGGCGAGGTATTTTAAAATAAGGCTGACTATGATTCACAACTGCAGGTATTTATTTAGGAAACTTACAATT